ATGGAGAGGCATGCATAAAGTAAACATCGCTATGGCCTCTGGGGAGCTTAATGTCAGTCAATGGTCGTACCGGAGGATTGGAGGTATCATAAAGCATCAGTTGTCATCAGCAGGTAGGACAGGAGGAAACATGAAGAAAAATCTTCACATCAATACAACTGATTTCTCCTGGCAAACATTGTGCTGGGACACTCATTCAAGAACGTGCTTTGGAGTGAGGAGTAAAAAAATGAGCTGTAATCATAAACCTCCAGCAAGGCAGTATCTGGGGCACTTAGAGGCTTGTACTGTCCTGGAGATCAGAAGAGCTGCCCACTGGCCTTACAGTACAACATAAAGACTGAACTACCCAGAAGGGAAACTCCATCTTCAGGGCTGACACCAAAGCTGTGTGTGTTATCAAATACATTAGTTACACCTTCTTCAAGCCTGCTTGATTTTCCCATTGACCTGCATGGGTGGCTTTTCAGTAGCTTTGCAAGTGGTGACATTGGGACTGGTGGCATCCAGCTATCACAGTCTGCCTGCCATGGGAACCTCTTCCATACTGCAAGAAAATCTGCAGGAGCAACAGGCTATGAACCACTTGCCCTCAATTTTACCTTTCATTTGTTCCTTATATTTTTTCCTCGCTGTAACTCATTGCCTTCACGAAGAATCATGTCATCAATTAATGACTAGCTTTGGCTGGATAGCACACAGACAGAAACTGCTGACTGATCCCATGGTTCTGCAGCCAATAGCAGATTTGTGCACAGCCATATCACCCAACAGGATGTGCCCGATTAAGAGTAAGCATGTAAATGTAGTGGTATTTCTGATCATTTAGCCGGGAAAGGCAATGAGTTTATGCCAGGTTTTGGGGTTTTTTCTGCTGGCTTTTGTGGAGGTACAGATCAGTACCAGCACACTGATAGAGAAATAAAACCTATTAGCAGGTTTTGTTTTGTTTGTTTGTTTTATGAAGTCTGAAGTGGGAGGAAAAATTGGTGTTGATTCTTAGCTTTGTTTTGTGTCATTGCGGTGGTGTTTGATAAGGTAGCTGCAGCTTCAAAGCAGAATTTTCTGTATCACTGAGCAAAGAGATTTAGCGTGCAACCTGATTCCCAGGAATGCTTCTTGCACAGAAACAACCCTCTGTGGAGCCTCTTAACCAAGCCACTGCTTCTGATTATGAGGCAGAAGAGCTGTCTTGGAAAACGTCGCCAACAGCACCCATGCAATGGGAGATCTAACCATCTCCCAGTGAGCACTGGCCTGAATATTTTAACAAATCCCCTTGCCCTTTTCTTGTACAAATCTCTTCCCAGAAAATGAACCCCTCTGTACCAGGAATCCAGGCATTTAGAAGCCAGGAATAGAAAGAGATTGACCAAACCCAGCTCATTTACAGAAGGAAGTTTCTGAGAAGGAGGCAGCAACCGCCGATCTCTGCCAAAGCAGCACATCACTGTTACGTATTTGAAACATTTATTTTCTTACTGGAACTCAAAATGGGGGAGAAACACATGCAGTTTGGATGAGATGATGGCTGCAAGCAAGTAACAGCTCTGAAGAATGCTGCCATGAATTTCTTTTTCCTTTTCTTTTTCCTTTTTCCTTTGTCCTTTTCCTTTTTCTTTTTCTTGGAAATCATTCCCTTCTTAGTGTCACGTATTTCAGTTCCAAAGGAAAATCATTCAGTATTTAGATGGGGTTTTGGTAAGCTTTGAATACCTGCTTTCAGAACCAGAGCACGGGGAATTGGGACCCCCAGCACAAAGCCCAGTTTGTCAGGAGGTGGCACCCAGAAATGGCAGATGCTGCCCTTATCCTTACATTGGCTAAAGAGGGGGTGCTCTGAACTGGCTGCTTGGTCTATCACCTCTGGGCCATTTCTCTGCCCCATGACTATTTCCAAGGGTGTTGTACTGTTTATATCTCATCTGATTTAAAGACGAAGGAAATGGAAGGGGCAGGACAGGGTGGAGGCTGTTGCGCTGTTAGCACAGCGTGAAGGAGATTACGTGCTGGAGGTGGGATTTTTCAAGGAGAGAGTCTGTTGTGTTGTCAGTGTACTGCACAGGTAGCTAAGCAGAAGGAATGACGGTATTCACAGTGTAGCCAATATCACTGACCAAAAATAAACACATTATTTAGTCACATCACAGAACGCCATGCACTGTCTCTCCCTAGGCGTCTAATTGCTTTATTACTTGGTTTAATGAAAGTTACAAACTCATTCTCCGAAACTCCCAGACGTTCTCTGTCCCTTGGACCCAGCTGAGGTGAGAAAGGCCATAGTGCTCTGCCCTGTGCAGGTGGCTCCATGCTGCAACTGGTGGAACCCGGGGCTGCCCCAGGCTGCAGGGTGCTGTGGGCAGCACCACGCATTGGCACCCCAGGATCAGGCAATGCCAATAGTGAGAAAGGGGAAAGGAGTGGAGCCAACACAGAGGGAGAGCCCGGCTGCTGCTTCCTCTCATTCACCTGCAGCCAGCTTATCTGTCCAGGGATATGGTATGGCCAAAGCAAGCTAATTTGCAACTGTATCGCAGAATCATAGAATCATTAAGGTTGGAAATGACTGCTAGGATCATCTAGTCCAATCGTCTGCCCATCAGCACCATGTCCCACAGTGCCAGGGAGGTGGTGCAGTCACCGTCCCTGGAGGTGTTCCAGAACAGTGTAGATGTGGCACTGAGGGATATGGTTAGTGGGCCTGGTGGGGATGGGCTGACAACTGGACTAGATGATCCTAGCAGTCTTTTTCAACCTTTATGATTCTGTGATATTGTGATCCTATGTGCCAACACCATGCTGGTAATTGTGGCTCTACACTTTCATATTTGTCAGTGCTGATACATCAGAATGAAGTCCATCTGGTAAGCATCCTCATTCAGGTACCTACATATAAACTGGATATCTTAGCTCTTAAATAGCCAGTGGAACCTCAGAACACCACTGAACCACTTATTCTTAGTAAGGTGATTTGAGATGCATGAGTATATCCAAAACATCTGCACAGGGTTGCCAGGTATTTCAGAATCACAAAATCATCTAGATTGGAAAAGACCTTCAAGGTATGATACAGAAGGTATGGAAAACCCATGAGCAGCTGCTAGGAGCCAGGCAGGGTATCTTATGGCATCTCAAATGAGAACTTAGATACCCAGCTCACAATTAGTGGATGTAGACCAGAGCTGCTTTTCTACTGCCCTCACACTTCATGACGGCCATGAGTGCCACTTCTCATGCTACCAGAAGCCAGCAGCACTTGGACTCTGTCACTGAGGATGGCTTTTTACAAGTGCAGCCCCATGTATTAGTATCTTGAAAGCACAGGCTGTGTTTAATGACTGACTCACAAGGATTTCTCAGGCGTTCTGGAAAATGTCAGTGTTAATCTTCTTATCTTTTCTTCATTTTTCCCCACAAACCTGATGTAATTTGACACACTGATTTCCATGGGGTTTTGTGTATCTGTGTAAACACAAGGAAAATAGCTAGTCCATAATATGCTCTGACAAGATGCAAATAGATTGGCAAGTAACCGGTGACCTTTGAAAGCTTCTGAGGATTTCTTCCTTGGCCAGCTGGGTCCCATTGAGCCTGTGCTAAACTTGTCTCCATCGCCCCTTCCTTTCCTCCTCTCATTTTTTGCAGCTGCCTCCTTCTTTGACTGGCTCATGGAGCCAGGGACCTACTTAAATGATAAGATTATTATTGTTTTTAAAAACCTGGTATGCCTTTCTGCAAAAAGTGTCATGATTTTACGGTTAAATGAAAGTATGAAGGACATGAGGATCAGCCCAGCCCAAGCGCTGCCATTCACTAAATGAGGCAAGCATTCCTGCACGTGCTTCTAGTGCATGTACAAGAGAGGAAAAGCACATTTTTATGTGTTTTGTGACTATCTCTGTGTGGCATTCAGAAACCAGAGATAAACTAGCATCCAAAACCAAAAGAATAAGGACAAATGTACAGGTGAGATAACCACTGATAGCCAGACTCTGGCATGGGCATGGAACAGGCTCCCCAGGGCAGTGGTTGTGGCCCCAAGCTGTCAGAGTTCAGGGAGTGTTTGTGTAACACTCTCAGACATAGGGTCTGATTTTTTGGGTGGTACTGTGTGGAGCCAGGAGTTGGACTCGATGATCCTTATGGGTCCCTTCCAACTTGAAGTATTCTATGATTCAATGATTTTATGATTTACAGCCACTCCCGCAGTGCTGGGGAGGATCACATCCTTCATAGGGTGGGAGGGAGTTCTGAGTTCAGGGCTTGCTGTGGATAGGCCCAGCTGTCAATTCCTTAATCAGAATAATAAAATATTCCTGGTAAGTAACATTTGAAGTTATAGACAAAGTCATGACCCTAATGAAGACACACCAGTTTCATAAGAGACTGTTCCAATTAGTGTGTCAGACCAGAGGTACAATGTAGGGCAAGGGAGAATTTGTCATTGCCGCCTCTTCGCTGTTTGGGGAGCACTGTGGACACTGTGGCTTAATGCTTGGAAGAGCTGTGCTGCCAGGAAAGGCAAGCAGCCCAGGGACAGCAGCATGTGGATCTTCCTGCCTATGGGAGCAGTGAGACGATGCACAGACCGAGTTGCAGCAGAATCCTGGAGGAAGTTGTCTCTGGAGCTGGGCTTGCAGCTGCCCTCGTTCCAGGTGCTGTGGGGCTATCTTCATCCCAAGACCTCCATTTCTACCTTGTCAGCAGTTATTTGGCCAGAAGGCACAGCCGTAGACATAGGGCTTGGAGTATGTAAGGGGCACGCTGCTTTTCCCAGCCGTGGTCCACAGGCACCAGCAGCCAAAGGAGCCTTATCAGACGCTTGGCTGAGCAGCACTCAGCCAGACCTGGGCTGGGACAGACAGAGGCTCTATCCCCACCCTTGTCACAGAGGTGACTGCCCTGCTGACGTCAGGAACCCTGACTTCATTTCCTGGCACAGGGACCATATTTTCGTAGCAGCGTCGGAGAGGTAGTGGAACTGGAATAGGCGTGCTTGGCCACACCTCCACAACCCTCCAGCTTTTAAAGCTCCAAAGGAGCGTGAGTGCGGGGCTGCTGCTCCGCTGGGTTCACAGGAGTGGAAGTGGCTGTGTTACTGGTGTGCTAAGAGGTAGCCTCTTCCAGCTGGAGTCTCCCTGCTGCCTTCTCGGGGCAGGATCCACCAAGGTAATTCCAGACAATGACCTGCAGTATCCAGGGCAGACTCTTGCTCTGAGCTGGGGTGGGATGGCAGCAAGACCTCATCTCTGAGGGTGGGAGAGGAGGGGGCACGGGGTGTCACAGTGAACAGAGCCAGTCCTGGCTCCAACTCGAGACAGGCAGCTGGAGCCGGGGCAAACATTCCTGGGATATGATTGAAATTTGCTGTTGGATGGGCATGTTTTATGCAAAAGTACGAATGAGAGAGGAGGCACAGCCTGGAGGGAGAAGAGTCAGCACTACAATGAGGACCACGGTTCGGGGTGAGCTGTGATATAGATGCAGCAGCATGAACTTACCACAGCACATGCTTCCTTGCACAGACTGCAGAAACCCGAGGAAATTCCAGGAATTCACGCAGGTGCTAGATGGGCAAACTCTGCTTCTGAGAAAAGCAGGACAGGTCAGAGCCTCTTCATGCCCCGGAGGACATCCATGCTGGAAAAAAAGAAAAGGGTGTAGAGATCAGTGCAAGTGGTCCAATAGTTCAAGACAATGAGGTTCTTTCCTTCTTATCTGCTACAATCGTAATGGCCCCAGTCAGGACCTGCGGCGGGGCTGTGCTCTGTGCTGCCATGGGGTCCCTCCAGCTGCCACTGACCTGTATGTGTTGGAGCAGTGAAGAGATAAGCTAATCTGATCAACAGTAACTTTCTGTGGGTAAAATTGCGGCCCTCTAGTTTTTCCAAAATGTTCATTTTTGATTTTTCACAAATGTCCAAATAGCTCTCAGCTATTTGTGCGAGTGTTCAAAAATCATTTGTGAACAATGATCTTCAAAAACTGCCACATGCATTGTTCACCAGCTCCTTTCTTTCCACGAGATTCCAGCATGCCTGCATATTTTGCATTTCACTGCAGGCAGCTTTTTGAAGAGCTGCACATCTCCTTTCACATGGTGATGTTAAAAGCTGAAAATACATTGCACTATTTCTAATCGGGTAACTTTAAGGCTTATGTGAGGCTGAGAGTGATTCATTGATGTAAACCCTTTGTTTATCCCTTGGTTGGGTCAGGAGCCATTTACTGAAGATTCAACCTCCCCTCCCTGGAATCTGTCTTTTGAACTAGCCTGGTAATTGCAGTATGTTGTTCTGGATGGGGGGAAATCAAAGTAAATGGCACAGTGAGAACTAAACACTAAATTTTGCAAGATCAACTTGTTTTTTCTTTGTATGTCAGAAAAGAAAGCCTTGGTTTTCTAGTGCAGGTCACCAGTAAGGAGAGATTCCCTCCTGTTTAATGCTGACATTGTATTTAAACCTCCATTTTGAGAGATTTTAGAGTCTAAGTCTGACTGCACAATTTCGCACCTCGAAAGCACTACCTGCCCTGAGATCTAAATTCATTCAATGCCTGCATAATGGGCCATGCAGTGTCCAGCATCCTCATGCAGTGGTGTTTGGGTGTGCTTTAGGCTTAGAAATCATTCAGCAACTTAATCCCCTGCGGAAATGGGCAGGGCTCAGCCAAACAGCCCTATGATCCCCTGTCGAGACAGCCTTACCTCAGGCTTATTCAGCCAGCACTTAACTCTTCATGATTAGACAGCAGGTGCGTGCGAGGTGTGTTGGAAGTCCTTGTGCATCCTTTGCTCATGGGCTCCTCAAGCAGTAACTTGTTGGGTACTCTTCATGCGGTGCCAGCATTGGCTCTGACATGTTGGTTCTCTAGCCACACAAGGCAATAGTCTGCAGAGGGGGGACTGAGATGTCTGGGATAGTTGTTCTTGCTGTGCTACCCTGAAGAAGGACTGTGAGTTTGTGGCTGATGGTTGGTTTCCTGTATTTGCTGTTTAATTTGGAGCGAGAGGAACTGTGCTGGAGGTATCCAGGTGAGCTATCTGCAGGGCCTTTCACTTATACTGTAAACCAAAGCCACAGGTGTTTCAGATAAAGTAACAAAAGGAAAACGATGAATAATTTCCTGTTCTGTAGTGCTCATCTCTGGAGCTCACTGGTACCAGGTACTGATGTTGTTTAAACCTGACAAAAAGGCGTAAATGTGACTATGACTAACTTGCTCTTGTATCACCTGGGACAAAAGTGACAAATCAGTTCAGCCTCTTTGCCCCATGAAAGGCAATGTATTTGCCCTCACTTTCCCCTGCTGCCTATGCTGCCACGACATTGCACAACCCCAGGCATGGTGCAGTGGACTTCCAAGGTGAATCATCACCCACTGAAGGGTTTGGCTTGCTCCTGATAGAGAGCCAATGCCAAGCAAGGAGATGGCTAAGCTGCCACAGCCACATGTCTTTAGCACTGTGGTGCCCTTGCCCAGTGAGGTGGGCATGGATGTCCATCCTGCCTCTCCTTCCCCACTGCTGCAGCACCCAGGTGGTTGATCCAACAGCCTATGCCTTTTATATTTCCGCAGCTTTGAGGAAACATTTCCTTGTGAAGTTATTCAAGAAGACATCAAGATGACGACACCGCCTCCTCGAGGCTGCGGCAGCATCCATGCTGACTACTTCCTACTTTGTGACATGGATCAGGCTTGGGGGATTGTCCTGGAGTCGCTGGCTGCAGCTGGAGTCCTTGTCACCGTTTTCCTCATCTGCTCCCTCTTCTTCCTCATCTGTAAAATCCAAGATAACAGCAAGAGGCACATGGTCTCCATCTATTTCTTCTTCCTCTTAGGCACACTCGGCATTTTTGGCATCACTTTTGCCTTCATTATTAAAAGCAATGACAGGATTCGCCCCACTCGCTTCTTCCTGTTTGGAGTCCTCTTTGCACTCTGCTTCTCCTGCCTCCTCACCCATGCCTCCAATCTCGTCAGACTAGTGAGAGGAAAAAAGCCCTTCTCCTGGCCAGTGTTGCTGCTAATAATTGTTTCCTTTGCTCTGGTGCAAGTTGTGATCAACATTGAATACCTAGTCACCATGCTGGTAAAAGGTAGAAGTACATTTTTGAATATGGGTTCAGAGGAGGCCAACAAGGACTTTGTCATGCTTCTGATCTATGTGCTCTTCTTGATGGCTTTGACCTTCCTGGTTTCCATGTTCACATTCTGTGGGCCATATAAGAGCTGGAAGAGACATGGAGCACACATCTTTGTCACTGTCCTGTTCTCCATTGCCATTTGGGTTGTGTGGATCACTATGCTCACAAGAGGCAACGAGTCTTTAGGGAAAACTAATTGGGATGATCCTGTTGTGGCCATTGCTCTGGTGTCCAATGGATGGATCTTCTTGATAATGTATATCATCCCTGAAATTTGTTTCCTCACTGCCCCTCTCAAGCTGGGGGACTACCCTCCAGAAAATGACTTCTGCCAACCCACGTTCATAAAGCAGGCGACTGGAGTGGACAACCATGCCTATACCCAAGATGAAACTGTGCAAGGTATGATGAATTGATCGACTGCACTGCCCTCAGCCCTAAGCACAGATGCACCACTCACACGTTAAAAAACGTAGAAGAGCTAAAAACAAAAGAGCTTGAAGTTGATGAGGAAAAGCAAAAGTTTCAGACTGATGAAGAAATGCAAGTGAAAATGAATTTTCAGACAGACAAAGGAAAAGAGTACAGATAGGAGCAGAAGCCACAGATGTGTAGGAGGAATGACTGAATAAGGGACTTCCTAGGTGTCAGGGCTGAGATGTAATTCCCTATGACTCTGTTAGGTCTGGAAAGCTCAGATAAAAATTCAGGAGTTTTTTGTTGTCACTTTGCAATGCTTCGGCACTTGTGACTTCTCCAGGTTATACCTAGATTTTTTCTTCCAGTTCTGACCTTGTTCTATTAAAAAAAAAAAAAAAAAAATCTGTCACCCACAAAGGAAGCAAGGAGGTCTTTTTTACTGTACAGATCTCATCTGTTTTTGGAAAAAGCAAAAGTTTTTGTCAGTTGAGGCATCCCAAAGTTATGTGTAGAAGGTGTGACTGACCTCCCAGTGAATCTGCTCTTGAGATCACATTTGCCCCCTGCAGTCAGACATCCAGGTCTGTTAGAGAGTAGTGGAGAAACGATGCGATCTCCCAGGGAATACTGCAGAAGGGGTCTGGTGCATGTCAGTGGGAGGGATTTGGCTGGAGATGAGGTTAGTAATCATGAGGCAACACGAGGTGGTCTAAACTCCAAGGCCACCTCCGTCCTATTATTTACAATACCAGTCAGTTCTGCTTTCACATGGAAATATTCAACAAGAAACTCACCAGTGGATTTTAATGCATTCCCTGTCTGCATGTTACATAGAGCTTGGTCAGTCTAAAAGCAGCTGCTAGTAGAGCCACAGGCTGTGTGAGTCTCCCTTGATGTACTATTTCCAAGCTATCATGTAACAATAACTCATCAATTTTTCCCCCATTTTGTCTTGTGACTTAGGAGACAGGGAAGGCACCAGCTACTCCCCGTACTCTGCTCACCTCCAGATGAAGGTAAGCTCACACCCCTCTGATGTAGGCTACTGTTCAGGGGCTGACTAGAAGGGAAGGAGAAGGGGGAAAACCAGATAGGTCCAGAGCAGTCTCTGCAGAGGCAGGTGGATGCTTCCCATTGGGTCAGGTGATGCCACTGTACTCATGGAGGCGTCTGTGGCTGGGAGGAGAGAGCTGCTGCTTGTCTCTGAACATGGGATGTGAGAGGAGCCCTGAGGCAAAATCTCAAGTGGTAGCTTTCAATACATATTGATTTGACATTGTGTAAGAAGTTCTCTCTTTGAGCAGGGTTCCTGCGGTAGACACTGCCCCTTTCTCAGTAGTCTGTACTTCTCTCCCCAGCCCCTGGCCTGAATGTATTCCCATCAGCTGTCACACTGCAAGTTGTCATGCAGATCCAGAGCGGCAGTCTGCGTCACCCTGTGTGCACTCACCAGTCCTCCTCCAGCACACAGCCTGGCCAGACCCAGGAGCTCACGCCATGTCCTCCCATGTCCTCTGGTGACACATCTCAATAACTGGTTTGCCGTACCAGGATCCTCTTCCACAGTGTCATCAGTCACACTCTTGAGAAACCTCCCGTTCCATTTCTCCCTTCCCTGTGTTTTTTATTTTTAGCTCTGTTCTATTACTTTTTCCATCTTTTAAAAGTAAAAACTGCCTCACTTCCTTTTCAGACCCTTGATGCAAAGAATGATTTCTCCATCCCTCGGGCCAAGGCCCACCCAAGCCCATACCATGACTACACTGGTGGGAAAGGCCCCATGTAGCAGCTGTGCAGGGAGCAAAGAGACTAAGGGCCACTCAGTGACAGTGCTGATCCCGCAGAAGAGACAGACTCAGACCCACACTGGCAATGCTGACAACGAGAGGCCCTGTTTTCCCTCAGCTTTCCCACCAGCACCCCTCTCATTCCTGGAAGACACCTCTCGGACACGGCTCTGCCAATCGTTTCTACGTGGGATGGAGCTCATTCTGGGGAGAGCATGCCCTGGCCTATTTCCAGCAGGAATGCTGCAGGGCTAGAGCAGCAGGAAGTTCACCAGCTGGGCCCACGGCCTGCTCTGTCCCAGACTGGCCCACGTGTCTGCCTGGGCCCCGCATCTGTCACGAGAAGAGAAAGGAACAGCAGCACCAGCGCTCCGTGTCCCAGCTGCTGCCCACCTGCAAGTGCACTGTGGGTGCCAGCATTGAAACACCCCACCTGTTTGCCCTGACACATTTTCTGATTTGCTGTCGAGTACCCACCTCCCCAGCTACGACCCCCCACCACACGCTCCAGCAAAGCACCCCCAGGGGCTGCCATACCCCACAGACCCTCCCGACCACCCCAACCTATGGGAGCCTGCAATCTTCTGCAGCTGCCTGCAATACCCCCATCCCGAGCTCTGCCTCCTCCCGAGTGTTTCTGCGGCATTATCACCAACATTTCTCAAGCAGCCAGGTTGTGGAGGATTTGCTTTGTCCCAGGGATGAGTGCACACGAGCGTGTGCACACATGTGCCCGCCCATGTGCTGCAAGGACTGCGCCCTGCAGAGCTGAATCACTCCGCATCCTGCTTTGCATTCAGCAAATAGCTTTCTGTGGTATTTCGTACATAGACACACAGAGCTCTCCAAGTGGGTGTGTGTGGTATGCTGGCGTCTGACACAGCTATATATTTATTTAGTTCTTTG